TGCATGTTATAATGATAGTTCTTTCCAAGAAGAAAATATATTTTTGGAGTACTCAAATCCCTATAAACAGTTCATAAACAGTTTAAGCACAAATGAAATCAAATTCCCCAGAGCTACTGACAGGAAAATCGACAGAAAGCACATTGCATTCTCACAGAAAAAGCACACAAAAAACAAAGACTGAGGTAACATAGACTCTCTGGAATTAACAAAAAATGTACACTGACAACTACAATATCCGCAATGTTAATTTACAATCAGACAACACACTTAAGCACAGTGAGTTACAGTTACTACTCTTTGAAATCCAAATTTCAGCAGACAACACCGTGCTGTCAAATAACTACGTTCAGAATTTAAGCTGAAATGCAAAGACTGGTATGTTTTATCAATCATAAATAACATAAAGCAAGTAAAAACCTGCACAAGCACTGGTCAATTTTTCTGCAAATTCTCCTGTCATTCATGAAACCAGCACCTTTAATACTGTATGGATGCACTTTGAAAATGATCTTAATAAATTCCACTTGAAATATCAGCTCATAAATTGGTCTTAACTGTGCAGATCAAATGCGGTGGAAAGAACATACAGGCTGTACATACATGGCTTGAAACAAGATGGATTTAAAGAAACGCTTCTATGAACTGTTCAACGTGTTTTTACTAGAAATTTTATGGATGTTGTCAAAAAACATCTGTATTTCCTGTTTAGTAATGGTGCCTCACAAGGGTTTTGCTTCCCACTTCCCCACCCCAACTCGAGTTTTAGTATGTGCGCATGTTTCCCTGAGATATCCCATCCAATCCCATAGCTTCGTGCAGGATTTTGTTTCCTGGCACTCATTCCATAAATGCTTAATGTTTGATTCTCCTGCAGACAAACGGACAGCATGACTTGATTCCAAATCTTAACTGAAATAACTCCATTTATGTTTAACACGCACTATTTCTTGTTGGTTTCAGGAAACAGTCATTATGTGATACCATAGTCATAAATTTCCTTGGAATTAATTAATGACAGTTATGGAATATCTAGAATAAGTCTCAATCAGTCATACTCTACTTTTAAGGTACAGTTGCATCCTCTTTGTTCAAGTTTTACTTGATTGTTTTTGTTCTATATTTATGACTGCTTATTCTAACCTTCTCTCCTCTCTCCAAATGCATAAAGACCTTAAGAGGTTTTTTTCAGTGTATATTTTATTTCAAAACTCTTTCCAATATTTTTGTAATCAAAATAATCTCTCAAAATACTTGTAAGCTAGTTAAGAAAGTAAGAGACTCATTGTTTACTATTAATTTCTCTCGCCTGGTTTTTATACTGAGTCATTGTTTTCTAATCAATTTGTGAAGAAGGATGGGCAAACAAAATTAAAATTCTGATTAAATGAACTGCTAAAGCTCTTTCCTGAATGTCTTATCACACTAACAAACTATAAGATCATTCAAGGGACAGGCATTGGTGCAAAAGTTAAAATGCAACTTGAAATGTTCACACCCCATATTGTTGGAATCCTGGTTCTGTTTCCAGTTTCTTATTAATCCAAATTCAGGCTTAAGTACTTGGATCATTGCCACCAACATGGACCACTCAGCTCCTGGCTTTGGCCTGTCCCAGTTCCAACTCCTGTGGGCAGTTAGGGGAGTGAATCTTCTGAGAGCATCACACGCAGGCAATTTACTGAGAAAACTAATTGATTCAATTTGATTTGAAGTTTTGCCTGTTTTGCTTTCTACGACATGTACTTCTTATACACATCCTACTTTGCCCAATTCTAAAGTAATCTGTCAGGAACCATCATCTTTCTTTTATACTACATTATCTTTTGAAAGATAAAATATGATCAATACATTGATTTACATCTTGTTTCAGAATTATTAATAGAAGGCCTATCTTTGGCAGAAGGATCTTTTGAGTCTGGAGTAAGATATTATAGTGATTTCTAAAAGCAAGACTACTACTAACAATAAGAAAAAATCAGTAAAGTTTAAAAAATCCAAAATCTGATTTCAAGATGGATTTAAAAACTGAAACAGTAAGTAATGTCTCACACTGTATGCTTTAGCCAATCCAAATAATTCACCAGTTCTGGCTCTGTTATTAATTACACTTCAGATATTTTTTGAAAATATAAATGATCATTAACTGATCTCAGATTCTAGGCATACAGATCTGCTTTCCCTACAACAAGCTTCAAAAGAAAATGCTGAAGTACAGCCATGATCTATCATGCATGCTATCATGAGAACTCTGAAGGCAAGACTGTAGTCTGAAAGATTAATGACATCTGTGAATAAAATTTACCATGGTAGTAATGTTGAGATAGAATAGTTCAAAATATTGAAAAATGAGATTTGGCAGAAATATTTATACTGATGTAAACATTATATAACACAAATCAAGCAGATAAGTCTTTTTATTTCCTACAATTAAGCATACAAAAAACTATTGCGTATACTTAAAGATAAAAAATAGAAAGATGACTTTTTCTTTGAAAATATCTATTTCCTTAGATGATTCATTATTATATATATATATGATTTTGTTTGTATATATATATACAAACAAAATCATACTCTATTAGGAAAATAGTTATTTTTAAAAACACTTTGTAGAGTATGAAAATTATATGAAAAAACTATCTAGAAAACTATTTCAATATTTATTGCTGCAAAATCAATAGGCTAAAACAGCTTATATTATGGAAATTTTATTAGGAAATATATAAATAATCACATAAAATAATATACTATCATCCCACACTGAATGAAACAGTTGCCTTTATGTTCTTGCTGTCAAAGTCATAAAAAAATGCATTAAAGTAGAAAGCTATTTAAAACACACTATTCCATGGCCAAAGCAGTGGCAGGTTAAGTCTCCACCTGCATGGCTGGCATCCCATATGAGTACCAGTTCTAATCCTGGCTGCTCGACTTCCAATCCAGCTCCATGCTTAATAGCCTAGAAAAGCAGTGGAGGCTAGCCTAAGTCCTTGGGCCCATGAATCTACATGAGAGACCCAGCAGAAGCCCCTGGTTCTCCAGTTTCAAAAAGGGCAAATTCCTACCACTGTGGCCATTTGGGGGAGTGAACCTATATATGGAAGATCTCTCTCTCTCTCTGTCTCTCGATCCATTCCTCCCTTCCTCTCCTCTCTGTAATTTGGCTTTTCCAACAAAAACAAATAAATCTTTATTAAAAATAAAAACATTATTCTTCCTGCATTCTGAACAATGCACTTGAACCAATCATTCTACGGCAGTCAAGTGGAAAGATGAGCATGCATTTCAGGAGCTACAAAAGCTGCTGGATCTACCACTACGGCTTGAATGACTTTGAACAAGTTACTGTAATTTCTGTTCGTTTAGTCTTCCAAAGGTCATAATACCACCTGCTGCAAGGTAATTTATGGGGGTTACACATTTTGTATACACACTCTTTGCAAGGTATGAATCAAAAGGAATTTAATAAATATTAATTATTAGAATAATGATGTGACCTGCCTCCCCTACTATAACTTTTTAATAAATATCTTAATTATCATAATCTTCAATAGTATGAAACAGAAAAATTCCAAACACATCAGCTATAAAATAGCTCTATCTTAATGTATCAAAGTATAAACATTGTGTAGAATCTTAGAAAAATCTTTGCCAAAATATTCAAAATCCTCCTTTTTAACAGTAAGTACAGAATTCCTCACATTTTATCATAATTTCTCCAAAAGAAAAACAAGGAAACAAACAAAATCTTCCTTTACTACTGCCAAAATAAGCTTATCATCTCACTACAACAGTCAGAATAGTAGCGTCAGGCAACATCTGGCAGTGACAAGTCACAGTGACAAGTCACCTGCCAGCTACATCTACTGCCTCACTCAAGGCATCTGGATCTCCGACACGGGTTAATGAGCCTCCAAGAAGCTGAGACAATTCTGTTCATCATGAAACACAGTTTGAAATGACTATTTCAGAAAGATTAAGATTTAATCATTTAGGATCGAATGATAATCATAATTGATAGAGTTTTCAAAACATCATTACTGGGAATTTCATTTCAAATAAATTTACAATGGTATAAATGTCTCAACATTCAAATACTCAAAACATATGCTGTCACTTTAAATATTTTTCCAGAACAGACTAACTTTGTACCTATGTGATGCTTAAGAGTAAAAATATATCAACTATCATATTTTCATTCTATGGTATCCTTTGTTTTCATCAAAATGTTTCCTAACGCTTTAACTAAGGTATATTACTTTTTTATATACCATTAATAAAAGATGTTCTCTAGCACCATACAAATATTAAATGTCAGATTAATGTTAGAGTAGTAAAACTTAATTGTCAAGTTTTAGTATTTCACAAAATAAATTCATTCAAATCAACCAGACTATAGTTGTGTAATTAAAATTAAATGAATTATATAAATATACAAAACTTCTGATTTTCGGAAAACTTTCTTGTAGTTTACTTGTTTCCATTCTGTTCTGATTTCCACTTTGTTTCAAAAACTTATTTCTTTAATTTGATTTTATCTATACTCATTTCTCTATTGGCATATGACTACTAGTATTACTAAATTTATGTAGTTTGTTTAATAGAAATCCATTTTTGCACCAATATTAAACCAAAAACGTTTGAATTCCTGCTGATACTTGGAATTTACAGTGTGACAGTGCTATATGCCTACACACTATCAAAGCTAATATAATAACACAATTAATTGATACAAAGTTCACCGAGGGATACAATACAAAGACTGTTTCCAAAAACCTAGATTTCTGTGTTCCAGTCTTCAGCACTAACTTAACATGTGCAGTTCTGCCCCCAGCTCTGCTGCTGCTTTGTTGAAACAGGAGGGACTCTAATTCATACTCTAACATTCAATTTATTTCCAAGTTGACATTTACACATGCTTTCAATTTATATATTTTAGAATTTCCATGTGGAAAACTTGATATTTCCTACTTTGCACAACCCTAACAGATACATACCTATGTCATATGCCAGGAAATCGGCAGAAAAACATTTTGCACCGTTACTCAAGGAAGTGTCATTATGGGTATTTCCTCCAAAAATAAGCATAGCTCCATTGATTAGAACAGCTGAATGAAGATATCTGGCAAACCCACTTTCTCTCAAAATAGTCCTACAGAATAAAATTTAAAAATGTATTACAAAAGATAAAAAGACCTTCCTGATTGTATTTATACTACATTAAGAATCCAATTTGCAGACAGAATTTTCACTGGAACTGTTGGAATGGGGAAAAAAACTTTCAACATCTTAAAAACAAATTCAAAAATAGTTTAGAGTTCTTAGTATCTTAAAATGTTTTAAGGAAATGTAACAGCAAGCAGAATTGTTAACGCAATAATAATTGTTAATTGCATTTTCATTTTATAAAAGTTGGAAATGTGTCTTCACAAAGAGGACAAAAAAGATAACAAAAGCATCATCACTTTTAAACCGTAAAATAAGTTTAAAAAGTAAATAAATTTATTCTTAAATATCTTCAGTTTAAAACTATATAACTTATCTAAGCTCCTAAGCATTTTTTAAACTATAACTTAACATGCACAAAAGTGCATATAAAATTCAATGAATTTTCAAAAAATGAACACACCTAGTTCCAAAACAAAATAAAACATTACCTCTATTCTTACCATAAAAATAATTCATTTTGCTATTTCTGTGCTTTACATAAATGTAATCATATACATTATATTCATCTATGCAGATTGCTTTGCTAAGAATAGTTAAAACACATCCAGATTTTATATATAATTTAATTTATGCTCATAATGTATTTCTGAGAAACATTAAAATACAAATGTGCTTTTAATTAAAGTATAACACTGAGGATAAGTATTGAAAATACATGATCATATATATGCTAATAATTATAACTGACATTAATGAGAGAATATATAATAAAGGCATATGACAACATGAATCAACATTTTATAGCTATTCTAATTAAAAGCTTGGTACAAAACATTCAAATATAAACATAGTTAGCATATATGCCATAGTTAGTATGCAACATGATATAGCTCCTAAACCATGTATTATAATACCATTAATGCTTAATGAATGAGAAGCTAACTTCCAGAATGGGAACCTGAGGAGTTCCATAAATATTCTTCCTAGGGAAAGAATTACAGTTAGCAAAATGATAGTAATAACACAATCATACATGACAACAACAATATCCATTTATAGTCTCAGATTATTTTACTAAGAAATATTTATGCAAGATTACCTACTAAATAGTGATTACAACAGTAATAATCCATAGCATCGGACCCAATATTTGCTCCTCAGCTTACCCTCATACCTTGCTCACAGACACACAATCAATTCAGTTAGACACAATTTCTATCCCACCTGGGTAAGGCACCTTTATCCCTCAGTAACCAGTCCAGGCCAACCCAGTCTCACTGGGAGCAGCAGACTGCCCTCCAGCCATTCTTATGTTCACCAGCTTACAGCTGTACTGCAGGAAAAACCATGGATGTTCCTTCTCTTCCCAGGCCTTCCTCAAAGGTTATAACTGAACCAATGCAAGGCCCATTCAGTTCCGTCACGCAGCTCAATCAGGTTTCTTTCCCTCACCCCACTTGGAGGCTAGCTGAGGCGATCAGAGCTTATCAGTCCTACCCAATGCCCTACATTTAAGGCAGCAGTGTGTGACATTCCACAAGAAAAAATTTACAAAGTCAACCTGCACACAAACCTAAGGCGGTGGCACAAAGATTTTCCCTGTGTGGCAAAGACAGAAGATTCCAGAGCTCCGCCAAGGGAAACAGATGTATCAGAAAAAAAACTGTGAAACTTCAAGCCCAAGAGCGTCTCAAGAAGAAGGCTCACAGAAGGCAGCAAGTGCCTAGCTCACCTGCCCCTCTCTGTGTCTCTCCCTCCTTCCCCGGCCCACCATCCCGCGTGTCTAAGTCTTTGTATCATTGGTCCTTCAAGTAAATGTACATCTCTTCAAACAATGATTTTTCTTATAAGAAATGAATAGACAGGTGCTGGATTCATGAGAAAAATAATCAACCCACAAATTATCAAGAAGATTAACAGAGAAAATCAGGAAAGGGGAAGAAAATAAAACAGCTTATAAAAGCCTTGTTGGGATCCAAATAAACTTTAAGACATATCACACACACACACACACACACACACACACACACACACACACACACACACACAAACCCTGAGGGAGGGGCACTTGCCAGTGATCCACTGCATGAGATGCTCTCATAACTTATCTGGCTACTCTGCTTTGGGTTCAGCTGTTAATGAATCTTGCAAAGCAGCACAAGATGCTTTGGGCCTCTGCCTCCTATGTGAGATAGTTAGCTGGACTTCCACATTCCTCAGATGACACAAACCAGGTAAAGAATGAGATAGGGGGAAGAAGAAAAGGAGGGAAGGAGAGAAGGAGGGAAGGAGAGAAGGAAAGGGTGGGTAACATCCAGGCTGCAGTGAGAATATCCTTGAGGAGCAAAAAATGGCCAGCTGCAGGAAACAAGAAAGCTGTATATGGTAAATTACACTGACTACAGCTGCTCTGGGATACAAAAAGAACAAAGGCAGAAACACATTTCCAAGAGCCTGACTGATGAAATTTTTGGCAAAAAGTGAAAAAGCTGGGTCAGAGCAACGACTAGCATGTGCATAATGTATGACTGGGAGCAGGCCTGGTTGGGGAGCTAAGAGGAAACCCTGGCTGGGTTGGGATTCCCAGGGCAAGAGCCGGAGTAGGGGCTGTGGTCTGGTCTGGATATGACTGCAGTCTCCCTTGGCACAAGTGTGGGCTGGGACTGGACACACCAGCCTGGGCTAGACTCCAATACCATCTGGTGCTCTGGAGGACCAAGGTAGATATGGGACAGACTAGGCTAGGTCTCAGTCCCTACTGAGCCATGTGTGAGCTGTATGTGGGTATGGACAAACCATGGCTGAGCTAACATCCAACAGCAAGAACCAGATTGGGTTAACATCAGTCAGCAAAGGCCACTGTTCCTACTAGGACAGAAGTGGACTGAGTAGGGCTGGCCCATGGACCCCCTGGTATGTGCAAATTCTGGCAATAGGAGAGGTTCCGATGGAGGAGCCTAGGCAACTCCTCTGGCAGGACACAGTCCCAGCAGGTAAGCCCAAGAAGCATGATAAGAAACAGCCCAGAAAATGCCATGGGAAGTTTCCCACTGGCATACATTGCGCAAATGTCAGGGGCAGACCAGGCTGAACCAGTTTACATCACTCACTGGTGAATCTGAGCACCAGAACAGAGTGTGGGTCAGGCCAGGTTTGGTCACGACAAAAACCAGTGCACATTACGGAATGCCAAGCTGAGATGACCTCTACCAGATGTGGCCGCAGTGCCCAACAGCATACATGAAAACCAGGAGGGAAGGGGCAGAGTTGACAGGGGGAATATGGGAGGGGCTCCCTGCTGGACAGCTACTCCAGCTGGGATGGGGGCAGAACAGACTAGGAAGGGCTATAACACCTGTGCGCCTCACATGTGCTAGATCAGGTAAAAGGCAGGCTGGGCTGATTATTCCTACTGGTGCAAGCATAAAATAGAGTAGGTGAGAGTTGGTTGGGATTAGCCACAGCATCAGCTGGCAGAAGCTGGCACTGGGGGCTAATTCTGTCAAGTTAAACTACAAAACTACCTGGAGAATGCATAAACTGGGAGTGGGAGAGGCCTGGGAGGGAAATAGTGGGCTCCTCCGTCGGAGGAGTTACCACTTCCACGGGAGAGCATGAAAACCTGGACAGGGGATAGGGTGGCTAGATAGAAGGGCACCCAACAGCATGTGTGCGGGCTTGATAGTGGAGCTGGTTGGGTTGAACTAGGCTTCAATGTCCATTGACATGTATGAGAGCTGAATGGGATGTGGGACAGACTGGACTAGTCTGCTACACATACTGGCAAACCAGGACAGGGGCGGGCCTAGTGGGGGTTATTGTGGGTCGCTCTGACTAGGCTGCAGCTCCCGCTGGTTTATGTGAGGGCCAAGTATGTGCTGGGCAGAATCAGGTTGGACTGCAACACCCATTGGTTCCAGTGGAAGACAAAGCTGGAAACAGAACCAACCTAGCAATTGCAACCACCAGCTGATCGAGGCGATGGACTGTGCCAGGTCCTGTGCTTGCTAGAACATACAAGAATCTAGTCTAGGAACACCTCAGACAAAGTTTCTTTGGGGATCTCCCCAATTGAAATGCCGGACTCGGAACCCTAACCAAGAGAAGACAGAAAACAGAACAAGTCCATCAACCACCTCAGCTATATGTTGGCAGCAAAATACTGGGCAAATGTTGACTCTATGATGGACTATGTCAATCAGTGGATTCTTCAATGACCTCATCGTGCTTGTAGTGGCAAGACTGGCAGCGATTCATAACTGTTGAACTATCAAAACACTTGAGCAGGACCCTCAGAGCATGCCACACATCCGGGACCTGGGATGGGTGGTAGACTGGGTGGGGCTTTAACTCCCCCTTTACCTCAGATTCAGAAAAAAAAAAAAATGTGTGGAAATGATGGTGTTACCCACTTTCCTGTAGCCCTTGAACCTTTGTGCCCTAATCAACTATGTAAAGATTGTCAAAAATATAATAAAAATTTTAAAGGAGAAAGAAAAGAAAAGAAAAGAAAAGAAGAGAAAAGAAAAGAAAGGAAAAGAAAAGAAAGGAAAAGAAAAGAAAGGAAAAGAAAGGAAAAGAAAAGAGACCAGCATGGTAGCACGGCCTTCTAATCCTTCACCTGTGGATCCAACGTCTCATACAGACACTGGTTCATGTCCAACTCCTGGCTCAGCGCCCTGCTTACAGCCTGAGAAAGCAGCAAAGGGTGGCTCAAAGCTTTGCCTCTTTATATACACGTGGGAAACGCAGAGGAAGCTCCTAGCTTCTGACTTCAGATAAGCTCAGGTTCAATCATTATGGCTTCGCTTAGCCTACAATCCTACAATCCCACCAATGGTAAAGTCAGGTACCTTCTCCCCACATCCACACCAGAAGTGCTGTTAGTAGATTTCCAAATGTAAACCAAGCTCACTGGAGTTAGGTGGAATCTTAATGTGGTTTTTATTTTTATTTTACTAATAGCTAGGGACCCTGAGTATT